TTGCTTACGTTTCGTTCTATCTCATCTATTGAGGTAATATTTACTACCAGATTAACTTTAGTTAGTTTTCGCGTCAAAACTCTATTGTATTTCTACCAATTGGTTCTACGTGGGTTCTNAGTGCTTCTGAAGGGCAGGATTTCAGTGCCCCAGTTGTCCCCGAGCATGCCGCTCTTTGTAAGCTATTTAGTTTGCTAACATTGTATTGTTTGTCTAAGGCTGGCCACCATACTAGGGCGCCGTAGGTTAGGATCGGCCTTATGATAGCGGTGGTCATCCACATCACAAGTTTCGGTTTTAAACCCCAGTTTCTATTGAAGATCTGTTTACAAGTATAATAAGCGATGTAGGCCCCCTCTTTACGTTTCTCAACGTTAAGTTTCCAGTTTAGTTTGGTATCTAGAATTACTCCCAGATATTTTGCGTTGGACGATAGGGGTATTGTCTTCCCGCCTATGGATGGAAGTGTAAATTGGGGTATCTTATACTTATTAGTAAACAGTAAAAGCTCAGTTTTGTCTGGATTTACGTTAAGGCCACTGCCTTTAGCCCACGTGTGCAGTCTACCCAGCGCTTTTCCTAGAATTTCACTTACAGTAGAGAGAAAAGGTCCACTGACTGCTATCACTACATCGTCAGCATACGCCACTACTTTAACTCCACCTCTGTTGAGTTCTAGCAGTATGCTGTTTAGTGCTACAGCCCACAACCCACAACAGTATTCAATGTTGTTGAAGGCGCCCTCGATATCCAGAAAAGCGGCTAGAGTGTATTGCTTGAAGCGCAGTGATTTTCCGTCGATTTTCCTTTGATGTAAGCATGTTGTGCTGTTGATAGGGATTATTCCCCCAAGAACAATCTTATATATATATCTATTAGCCTTTCCAGTGCTTTAAGAACAAAGGAAGTTAGGCTTAGAGGTCTAAAGTCTTTCGCTGTTTCGTGGTTCTTCCTACCGGGCTTAGGGATGAACACTACTTTGACACGTCTCCAGTTCTGGGGGACATTTTCATACTAATACAAGCTCTATAGAGGGTTTCAAGTAGCGGTGCTATGTGCTTCTTTACATGCTGTAACATGGCCGATATTATACCATCTGGACCTGGAGATTTAAAGGGAGAGAAACTTTCCATTGCATAGATGATCTTTTCTTCGCTTATTATTGTTTCAAGTTCTGTATTTGGTATGTATGTGGGTTCCTTTCCATCTGATGCTGCTGCATTCTGTTCGCAGCCTGGAAAATGGAATTGAACTAGTGTTTCTAAAGACTCATCTGTGGAGTTTGTCCATACATAATTTATGTTTTTAATAAATGAGGGTTTAGTGTACTCCTTTGAGACGATCTTACTTAGCCTAGCTGAGTCTCTTACATTTTCTATCGAGGAACAGTAGGTTTGCCAGGACTTGGCCTTTGCTATCCTTAGTTTCTTTTTATATGATTTTAACGCACTTTTGTAGGGCACCCAATTCTTGGACCCAAAGCACTCGTTAAAAAGTTTTCTAACGCTATTTCTAAGAGTTCTAAGCTCCCCATTCCACCATGGCGGGGATTTCTTTTTCATGACACTCAGTGGGGTTGATCTTTCATAGGCTTTAGTCATCGCCCCCTCTAAGTTGCTTACGTTTCGTTCTATCTCATCTATTGAGGTAATATTTACTACCAGATTAACTTTAGTTAGTTTTCGCGTCAAAACTCTATTGTATTTCTACCAATTGGTTCTACGTGGGTTCTTGTATTTAGAGGGGGTGTAGGATACTCCGCGTAGATTAAAGAGTATCCAGCAGTGATCAGACATTGATGGCCTGTCGGAAACTCTCCAGTTATCAACGGTAACGCCATCGTTCTCAACGTTAGGTCCAACACCACCTCCCACCCAGGAAACCGGTCTGAACTTGGGAAGATAAAGGTTGGTCGGTTACCAGTATTGCAAATACTCAAACTAGTGTTTAATAAATAGTGTAGAAGTGACTCACATCGCTCGTTTTCTATTGTGCTGCCCCAAACTGGATGCCTGGCGTTTGCATCACATCCTATGACAATGGCTCGTCTGGGGTTCCGGTCAACTATAGTTTTGATTTCCGGTGGCGGACTGTCTCGTTCATGGGACATATAAGATGACACTAACAAGACGTCCTGTTGTCCTGCCGTCTCCACCTTAGCTACTTTTGTGTCTGCTGTGCTGAAATTAGAGCAAAGGAATGCATTTGTACCCTTCTTGATAATAATACACGCCCGTGGTTTACAAACCTCGCTCTTGTGGAAGAGATTGTAATTGTTGATACTAAGGCCCATTACTTCGTCGTTCTTGACCCAGGGCTCCTGTATTAGGCTAATGTCGATGTCCTCTTCGCTGAGAAGTACGACTAGACTATCTGTAGCACACTTCGAGTGCTGCAGATTTATTTGGACTATCTTACTGGTCCGGTTCATCGCTCAGTTTCACTCCCATAAGGAGTTCGCCTGCACCGGCGACGCCCGGGTCCTCTTCTACTGGGCTGACTTCACCAAGGAATACTCTTACCTTAGCTTTCCTAATGCCGAACCGAATCTTATAGTCGGCCTCTGCTAGGGCCTCCAAGGATTCGGAGCAAATCGCTAGGAGAATTGGCTTGTTTGTGGGCTTTCTCAGCTCTTCAACTTTGATGAGTTCCCACTCGTCTATTGCTGGTATGTTTTTATTATGCAGCTTTACACACCGCAGCAACTTTTCGCCAGGTTCGGCTATCGGAGGTAACCAAATGCGCGCACGGGGCCTCCTAGGGATGTCCTTGGCTGGTATGAGCTTCAGCTTCAAGCCCTCGAATGCGTCGCTAATCTTTGCTACACACCCAGCGAGGAGGTCCAAGGAGAACTGGTCCGCGCATTTGATGACCCGGTATCCCCTCAGGGATTCCGATGAGTCAAACTCTGGACGAGGACCTTCGGGGTTGTCGAGGACGTAGTCCATTACGAGACTCGACAGCATCACATCGATCTCCACCACTTTTGCTGCACTGCTAGCAGCGTTCTGCTACCTTCGTCAATAATTGAAGTCTGAAGATGGTCTCTTGCAACGTCGCTGAAGTAGCGATGCTTGGTGGATGTTGCGGACTCCGCTACATCCCCCTGCTTCAATCGTTTGCGGTCAGCTCCGTTGCCACTCTCGTTTTGAGACCTATTCCTTTTTTGGGTTTCGCTAGATCCCATGGTGGCAGTACGTTCTGTTTGGAATTTCTCATACTCTTCCACCATGGCCATATATCTACGCTTATCTTCCTCATCGCGCTTGTCTACACGTCCGGCTGCTGCAATTCTCTCTACTATGGGACTATGGCTGGCACCTTCCGTTTTACTGCTGATTCCCGCTTTTTCCTCTGAGGTGCTATGGCTGTCACCAACAGAGGAAATCGCTGTCGGGGTTGGTGGTTTTGCAGGGGATTTCAGGAGCTGTTCTTCCTTCGATAGCGTCACATCTTCCCCAGGCTTTTGTTTTTGTTCTTGCTGTTGTTGTTGTTGTTGTTTTTGTTTAATTTCTTTGTTCATTTGTAGTCCCATGAGTAGTCCGGAAGGGGTTCGTCACTCGTCCGCAGAGCCGGTATGCATGAAGAAGGCACTTCTACAACCGACCTTGCCCGGGCATCGGAGGGGACCGTTCGCGACCAGCCACATTTTACTACCCGCTGGCCATTCATCCATCGGCACGGTGGCCTTCACACCTTGGCTTGGGTAGTGTTGCGGCGCCTATGCGCTCTTGAACAACCAGAAAAATAGTGAACGAGAAATTGCATTGAATTTGACACTTGTAATTAGTCAANAATTTAATTATTACAAAGTTTATAAATATTTGTATTCAATAAGTACAAAGTAGTTACAGAAAACTTACATTTTGTTTTACTTGCGGCGCCTATGCGCTCTTGAACAACCAGAAAAATAGTGAACGAGAAATTGCATTGAATTTGACACTTGCAATTAGTCAAAGTGATACGAACGAGAGAAACACAAATTGCGATGGGTTGCCATTGCAACCTTTCGCAACATGCCCCCCTTCGTAAATTTCCTACGTCTCCTCGTATGTAATTTACCAACTCAGATTTGGCTCGTGATATTCAGTTTTGCCAGTTTAACGACAGTTCGAGTGCACAGACCGTTTACTGTCCTCACCACAGCGCTGCGAGCATGTCCGTCCTTCCCACGATGGAGGTCTATTACTATTCCTTTCGGCCATGAGTTCCTCTTCGCATTATCGTCAACGATGACCACGACGTCGTTTATTTCAACTGGTAGAATCGGTGGTTGGAACCACTTCGCGCCTCTAGTAAGGCATGGAAGGTACTCTCTGATCCAACGCTTCCAGAATTGGTTAGCTAGCTGATTTGAAATTCGAAAGCATCGACGAAGAGATGAACTCCTGTCATCATCGCATCCAGATTCTCGAATTCCGCTGGAGTTTCCTAGCATGAAGTGGTTGGGCGTAAGTGCGTCGTCGTCTGAAGTTTCCAAAGGGACGTACGTCAGAGGTCTCGAATTGAGAATATTTTCGATGTCGGCCAGAGTAGCTCTCAAAACTGCCTCGCGCAGGCTAGCTTCGTGCGTAATATCCATTAAAATAGATTTAGTTGACCGTATCATTCGTTCCCATGCCCCACCCATGTGGGGAGCCGAAGTCGGAATGTAGAACCACTCGATATGGGGATGCTTCTTCTCTAGGTCATCGCACGACAACTTTTCTATCTCGTCGATAAGCGCTCGATGACGATGACGCGATCTCCATGTGAACTGCACGAGTGGTCAGGCACGTGAACAATGCGCCCCAGCGCTTTTCTCGGTGCCGTCCAACAGTAACATCAATGGGGCCAAAATAGTCTACCCCCGTGAACGTGAATGGCCGTGTAAATGGTGATAGCCGTTCCGAAGGCAGATTTCCCATTAAAGGAGGTTGCGGCTTAGCCTTTCGATTGCGACACGTCTGACAACTTTTGGCGCAATCTCTTACCAATGTCCGCAAAGCAGCTACGCAGAATCACTGGCGCATCTCATTGACGATGATCTCGTTATGATGATGGTGAAATTTTCTATGATAAAAGTCAATTAATAATCGCGTTACTGGGTGATTCTTCGGAAGTATTAAGGGCCGCTTCACACTGACGGCCACACCATTTGCGAAATCAATTATTCCTTTTACACGAAGAAGCCCAATATCGTCAAGATAAGGCGACCATTTAAAGATGCTGGACTGCCGCTGAATTCCTTGACCATTCTTAAGGCTCTTTATCTCTCCGCTAAACGCAGCTTCCTGGCCCACGGCTATGATAACGAGCTCTGCTGCCTCAAAATCGCGCAAATCGAACAGTTTTAGTAGCGACTGAGGAGTGACCTTCAGAACCAGGCGCGGAAAACGCAAGACAAATTGCTGTGTGCAACGCAACTTTTCCCAGGAGCTAAACCTCTGCACCTCTGGGGAAATTACTGACAGCGCCACAGCATCTGCCGTGCTTATGTGATGCAGCTCTGCGGTCACATTTGAGTTAGTGACTACTAGCTCTGTTTCGGGCCAGTAAGATTCGGGCTCAGCTAGGGATTTTGGCCCTTGAAACCAGGGTGGGTTGTCGTCAAATTTACGATCCTCGTTCCATTTCGTGCCTTCATCGGCAACGTTTTCGCAAGATGGTAACCACCTCCACTCTTTAGCGCTGGAACCCTCTAGAATCTCTCCAATACGTAGCGCAACGAATTGGTGGAATTTTCTGGCATCAGAGCGTACCCAGTAAATCACATTTTTTGAGTCCGTCCAAAAAACTTGAACAGAAAGTTCCTCGCTTATAAATTTCACCAGCCGTAGACCCAGAACAGCAGCCATTAACTCCAGCCTTGGAATTGAAATGGGTCTCAACGGTGTGACCCTCATCTTTGAAGCCAGCATCGAGCAGTTCACCTCGTTAATACCCTCAGCGCGCAGATACGCCACAGCAGCATATGTGTTGATACTCGCGTCCACGAAAATATGCAATTGAGGCCCGTCGCTACACTTGGCGAGTGTGTAGCAGCGAGGGACTCTTATGTTGTTTATCGAGGATATTCGTCGAACCCAATTACACCAACTCCTTTGTTCGCCCTCTCCGATAGCCTCGTCCCAATTAACACCAGAACGCCAAATGTCCAAGAGGATGATTTTTGCTTGTATAACGACGTAGCCGAGCAGTCCAAGCGGATCCAATATTTTCATTATCGTACGTAGAACTTCTCGCTTCGAATGAAATTTAGATTCATCAAAAACTTCTTCCGAAAACTTTTCCACAAATATTCCCAGCACCTTTTCGAAAGTAGCGGTTTAGCGGGTGCGTAGACACCGATAGCATCTGCAGCAAAATAAGCTTTCATTTGTTCATCCATTCGGTCGCTATTCGTATTGTCGACTCCAATAAAAATCCGTGCCCTAGCAGCTTTGCATGGAAGGATGGGAAGGTCTTTCAGATGGGTTTTTCTGCATTGTAGCACTGTCCAATGTTTGAACAGGCAAACCTAGATGAGCAATTGTACGTACACGCTTTAAGAAGTATCGTGGAGCGTCCACCTGTGTTGATGCGATCTCGAAACTTACAAACGTGGAGTTACTTTCGTTTTGCGTAATTTCGCTAGTCCATCGCAGACACAGTGCCTCGGACGGCCCATCCAAGTCAAGATCATCAACAAGCTGATCGTTGCTGATGCTGCTATTTACGGCAGCAGGGGTGTGGAGTAGTGAATTGTGTGCCATATGGTTGCCGTCAACCCCACACTTATTCTTAGAACTGCACCGGCGAACGTAGTGAGAATTGAAACAGCGCAAGCAAAGTTTTTTTCCCGAATAAACTGCCAGCGATCGTTTCGCGAGAGCGCGGTAAATTCAGCACAGTCTGACAGCTTATGATTTGCATTAAACTTTAGGCATATAGCCACCTTCACGTTTGTATCTACCTTTTTATCAACGACTTCGTGGACTAGAATTCTCGCCCTTTGAGAGTTGAGGCCACCCTTCTTCATTTCAGTAGTATCAATTGCTGTAGTAGGTGGCTGACATATCGTTACTTGACTCGCGCACCTAGCTAGTCCAAAAAGCCATTCGTCGAATGTACCAATGTCGGCGCGACCGAGTGACATACGATAACTACCCCAATTGAGCCTTTGGTCGCTGGGCAACTTAGCTACCAAGTCATTTAGCAACGCAGGATCCTTTAAACAATCGGCAAGCCCGACCGCCTGCATTGTAGTGCGATAGTTCTGCACTGCGAGGGAAAACGCTACGAGCGTTTCCAATTTATCAGCCTTAACGCAAGGTTTTTGCCTTAATTTCGACTGCATTGTTTGGTGAATAATGTCTGGCCTACCATAAAGCATTCTCAGTGTGTTGATAGCCAGCCCCACTGTTGATGGCATCATTAACCTACCACGCACTGCTTCGAGGGCTGGCCCCTTTAAGCACTTTTGTAGTCTGATCAAATTTTCTTGATCGGTGAATCCACATCGCTCGGTGGACTGCTCGTAATTCGTGATAAATAAGGGCCAGTCCTCAGGCTTACCGGAGAAGGAAGGCAGATCCTTCGTCATCACTTGCCGACTGGAAATCTTCATTGGAGTGAAGTTGATGTCGGCTTTGCTATACTGGCTAAGAAAATTGTAAGGTGGGCCATACATTTGGGTATACGGTGGCAGTATGTTCGGTTGTGCAAAGGTTGTCGTATTTGGTTGAACTAAACCTGGAACATTCGGCGGCGGCGCCATTGTGCTATGCGTAACTGGCTGTGAATAAAACGGCTGAAATGTATTGCCGAGTGTTGTATAAGACAACGTGCTCAACGGCATGGCAGCGGAAGTGATGTTAGGTACGGCACCAATGGCATTGACAGGCATGCATGCGGTCGTATATTTGCGGGTTTGCAGCCGTAGAAGGCGATCCAGTGCCAGTAGCTGCGGCGGTGCCAGTTCTGTCAGCCTCACCAATGCTCGTTGCTGGTGGTACTCCATTGTCTTCGACAATTACGGTAATATGAGCGGAGTCTTCCATTTTAAGACCCCGATGATTAGATGACCTAGAAATTAGTCCAAAGGAAACAGCAAAATATTTCAGAATGTGGCCCCGGCAATTGGCGCGGCCCGCAATAGAATTGATATTCTAGTCTCCTTTTCAACGAGCTAAAATCTTTATTGAATTTAATTATTACAAAGTTTATAATTATTTATTTTCAATAAGTACAAAGTAATTACAGAAAACTTACATTTTGTTTTACTTGCGGCGCCTATGCGCTCTTGAAATAGTGAACGAGAAATTGCGTTGAATTTGACACTTGCAATTAGTCAAAGTGAGACGAACGAGAGACACAAATTGCGATGGGTTGCCATTGCAACCTTTCGCAACAACTGGGCTTCCCTCTTAGTTCATGTTGCCATGGTGCACCCCACACTGTGAGGTATACCATAACATCATTTAAGCTTCCCCACCACGGCAAGACGACCAACGTTGAGGAAGCCTGGGGGAAACTCGTGAAAATCTGCACACCGCCCATACAAAATTCACCAGTTTTGAAGTGAATGAAACCCGAGATTTCACCAGATTTTTCACTACTTTTGGCAGTATTAATACTCTCACTCTTTTTCTCTAACACACTCTTTTTTATTGTTTGAATGGTTGACTTGCTTTCAATTTTTCCCTTTCAATTGAGTTTCAATTTTGCTTTCAATTTTAATCAGCTTTTCAGCATTGGCGTGCGAATTTTGTGAAAATAAAAAATACTAAGCGTATGCATGCTAAATTGTTAATCTACAATGGAATTAAAATGGAAAATGGTCTTCAGAAGCTAGTTAGTTACATTGTTTTCTTGAAGACGACATGTTGATAATGAAATTGCTTCTCAAATTGAATGCAGCCTACGTAATGGCTTTCATTTTTTATGATTTTTGACAAGCAATGTATGTGAGGAAATTGAAAGGCAAAACTGATTGTGTGTCGTCAGCATAATCGGCTGTTTTTGCCTACGCGTAAAAGCATATTTAGCGCATTTAGCTCTAAATGCTACTCTAAGGCCGGTTACTCAATGTCTGGTTAACACTAATCTCCGGTAAAACATCGTTATCGACGTTACCGACTCCATGTTATATGCATGGAGCCGAACACGTCGATAATGATGTTTAAACGGAGATTAGTGTTAACCACATATTGAGTAAAAGGCCCTAAGGGCCGGTTGTTCAATGTCTGGTTATCACTACCACTACACTATCGACGATTTCGACATCATGCATGTAACATGTGATCGATAAAGCAGTAGTTGTGCTTAACCGGAGCTTCTACCTCCGATTTGTGCTAATCAGACATTGAACAACCGGCCCTAAATGTACATTTATCCATACAAAATTCGTCACCTAAATGCAACTAAATGCAATTCCATTTTACATTAAGAAATTAAATGCTAAAAGCAACGCTGTGATCTTCCAAAATTTCCACGATTCGAACATGGTTAATGAGAAAAAGTGGTAACATTGCTTTTTCGCGTATACAGTGGCTAGCTGCGTTTCAGTGATCGCCGATCGAGATTTCATTTATTATTTTACATTATTTGGATAAAGAAAAGTTACGCAAATTCAACANATACTTAGTAAATTTTTTATGTAAAATACTTCCAGATAGTTGCCTCTCCATACTCAAATGCAATGTAGTTAAAATATATTAAGGAACCATCATAAAATTAGGACTATTTTTGCATTTTTAACTTTTTGATATTTTCTTCCCCAACTTAGACTACCTCTGGTGAAAAAAAATGTACTGAGCTATAACTTTACATTACATAAAAAAATTGTTCATATAATAAAGATTTCAGAAAGGGTCCACTCTTACTGTTTCTAATAAAAAAAAGTTTTAGCCGCTTTTGTGGGCAAAGGACTGAGACACGTATTTAATTAGATTTACACGTATTTAATAGATTTAAATTTAAGTTGCTCTTGTTACCGACCAATGACATGCTAAATAGTACAAAGGTGCATTATTACCTGCTCCTGACATTATTTTATGTTACTTACCGGAATTCGGACTAGAGTCTATAACAAGGGCTATATCTATCAATATTTTTTGTGAAGGATGGGTTCACGTGAAATAAAATATACATGACTTGTTTGAAGAAAAATTTATTCATTTATTGATAAAATATGCTNCAATTGGGCCTCAATTGGGCTATCTTAGCAGCAGCTCCATTTATTTGTTCCCGCAAATTCTCTTCGTTTTGAATAAATTTTGTCCTTAAGACAGCCCCAAAAGAAAAAATCTAATGGATTCAGGTCTGGCGATCGAGCGGACCACGTTATTGGCCCGTATCGTCCAATCTATCGACGAGGATAAGTTTCGTCTAAATGAGCTCGTACTTCACGCCCGTAGTAAGCAGGGCACTCGTCATTTTGTAGCCATAGTCTGCGCCGCAGGTTTATGGGTACATCTTATAAAGAGGTGGAAGCCGTTTTTGAAGGAACTTTAAAAAACTGTGAGAGTTGAGCGTTGGCGGCAGTTCCACAGGTCCCAATATCTGACAATTAAAAATACCGCACCATAAATTTACTTTGTACCGGTACTGCGAACGATCTTCTCTCATTTCGTGAGGATTGCCTATCTGCCAACTGATGATGATTCATCGCACCAAATTATTTTATTAAAAAAGTTGGAGTCTGATTCATGCGTCGCAACATTTCACGGCAAAATCTAGCCCTCGACAGGTAATCGCTTTCTTGTAGAGCCAGAACACGTTGAATATGGTGGGGATGAAATCGATGGTCTTTTAAAGCTTTGTGAACTGTAGTTTTTGGTATTCCCGTCCGTCTTTCCATCATTCTCACTGAAGTCGATGGACCTAGTTCCACTTCCTCTAACACAACTTCACCATACCGTTACAGGACGTCCTGTTTCGCCGCCACGCCTTCCAAGTATGCGACCTTAAAAAAGTGAAAAATGGTAGTTAACAAGCAAGCAAACAAGAAAGGTGTAAAAATCACTTACCTTCATATATTTCTCTATGGGTCCGGGCGAATACTTCACGACCCGGATGCCGACGATTGGGGTATCGCTCTGCATATAGTCTTTTAGCAGCTCTGGCATTACAGAAAGCTTCACCGTAAATTAGGTGAATATCCGCATATTCATGCGACGTATACTGCCTGTTCTCAGTCATAGTATTAATAACACAATGTTCGAAAGGCCCAATATCACAAAATCCACTTTCACTAATTCCGGTAAGGAACATAAAATAATGTCAGGGCAGGTAATAATGTACCTTTGTACTATTTAGCATCGGTCGGTAACAAGAGCAACTTAAATTTAAATCTATTAAATACATTGTAGCGTGTCTCAGTCCTTTGCCCACAAAAGCGGCTATAACTTTTTTTCTATTCGACACAGTAAGAGTGGCACCTTTCTGAAATCTTTATTAGATGAGCAATTTTTTTATGTAATGTAAAGTTATAGCTCAGTACATTTTTTTCACCAGAGATAGTCAAAGTTGGGGAAGAAAATATCAAAAAGTTAAAAATGCCAAAATAGTCCTAATTTTATGATGGTTCCTTAATATATTTTCACTACATTGCATTTGAGTATGGTCTGAAATAGTGCTTCCTTCAATCATTTTATGAAGTGGGGCGTTCTTGAAAAGTTTTCTGAGATAGGGCGTTTTCGAACTGGCTGCCGAGATAGGTCGATCTTCCACTCAGGTGTCGATATGGAATTTGTATTCATTTTGACAACTCTATCTCAAGCATTTTCATTTTTATTTTAACTTTTTCATGTTGCAACTGCTCCATTCTGATGTTATGCCTTCTTTTTTCCTCCAAACTTTGCGCTTTCAACCGATTTTGCTCTGCCAGCAACTCGTTTTCATTTTCAACAGCACGATGAAGTCGTCGAATATCGTCCCTTTCCCCTTCATGCGATTTTGCAATATTTGGTGGCTTTTGCAAATGTCATCCATCGTGGTTGAAATGGTTTCCATGCAAGAGGCTTGTGTTGTCATGCACGTCTGGAGGCAGTCTTGCATTTCCGAGGCTCGTGGCCTTTTGGCTGCTCTCGGGGTAGCCATGGCTTCCCTACATGTTTGCGGACGTTCTTCCTCCGACTCACTGGCGATGCAGCTTTCTTCGGCTCCAAAACTTCTGGAATGATTAATGCCCTCCACAGCCGCGAAAATTCCACAAGTTCTGGCAACACGTCCTTCGTTGGGCGTTAGTACATGTTTAGTAAAGGGGCCACCTCCTGTTGCCCTCGATTCCAAATTTGTATGGGCAACCTTTTTACGGATGCATCTCTTCCAGTCAGACCATATCTAGAAAAAAAGAGCTCAAAATACATTCATTTTAATACTTGATTAAATATAACTTGCTTTTTTCCATCCACTAACGTCCTTCTGGGGAGGCCCTTCTGCATTCAGCAATGTGGTCAGTTCCTTCCACTTTTCCTCAACAGCAACTCTGTCGCCCTTCGAAAAATTCTTTGCCAGATCTGGATGAGATTCCATAAATTGAACTAAAATTAGCTCTTGCTTGGAGTTTTTGTGTTTTCCCCTAAAAGTTTTTAAATAACAACTTTAATTTACACATAAGCAGCTAATTTGTGTAAGGACTTACAGTGTTATAAATATTATTTCAACAAAATGTTTATTAGAATTCCAAACCGCTATCGTTTAAGTTGACGAATATAAAACGGGAAAATTTTAACGATTTCGATTTCCAGAACAGGGTGACAAAGCGATTTGCCC